TAACGTATTATTCTAACTAGAAGCATCTATTCAACTAAACTCTATATTTATATTATATTTATGTTCTGTTGTTGCTGCTCCAAAACGAATACTAACAGTGTTAATTAAAATGATTTTATTATGAAGGAAAAAACATAAACAAATTAATTATTGGTTAAATTTTACGTTTTTATAGCTGTAAAATAACTGAGTTTTTTTTTTAAATTGTATCGTTGATGATCAACAAAAAACTGCATGAAACATCTAAACTGGAACGTAACTTCCTGGTGACTTTCTTGTTTTTATAAGTTTTGACTTTTGACTTTAAATATTTTAAGAAATTGCGATTTTTTTATCATCTTCTTCCGCTGCTTTAAATCAGTTTGGAAAGCTTCTTAGTTTACCTACTCTTGTTATCCTAATAGGTAATGATAAATTACACTAGGGGAACAGATTCGAATCATTCCATTGTTAAAATATGTGGTTATTATTTTAACTGAAAATATAATACGTAGGTTAACCATGAAAATATCTTAAAGGTAAATATTTAAATATTGGCAGAAGTTTTTGCGTAGTCTACAAAACATTGGTCCTACTTTAACCAGTTCTTGAGGGTGACAAATTATGAAATGTGCCAGTTTTAGTATATTGTATGTTATTATCAAATTGGACGTTGCTTTTTTTTCTTTCCATTTACCATATTCAGTTGTCATATCCGTCTGCAGCGTCATTTAACGTTTTAAGTTAGTTATAAGTGAATGTTACATTATCCGGAAATGACTCGAAACTGTTTCTCTAGTGTGATTTATCATTACATGTTAGAATATCATATGTTTTTCAAACTGATTTAAGGCAATTTCTTAAAATATTTAAAGTAAAAAGTAAAAATATATAAAGACAAGCAGTTTAGATTTTTCATACAGTTTCTTATTGATCATCAACGATACATTTTTTTTAATATCAGTTATCTTACAGCTGTAAAAACGTAAACTTCAACCAATGATTAATTTGTTTATGTCCTTTCCTTCATCACGGTCAGTATTCGTTTTGGAGTAGCAACAGCAGAATATGAATATGATTCTACTACTACTAGTACTAATTAAGTGTACTAGCTAGGGTTCAGTTAAATAGATGCTCTCTTGTTAAATTAATCGTTACATATATTTAATGGGCTAGATAAAATGACTATGATTCATCTAATAGAAAGCTTCAGTAAGATTGACGTTAAAATAGCTGCTTTAATAAATAAGTTAGTAGAAATATCTATTTGAACAATTTGTTTGTTTGTTGTTAAGTACAGAGCTACACGATGGGCTATCTATGCTTTGCCTACCAAAGGTATCGAAACCTGGTTTTTAGCATTATAAGCCCCAAGAAGTACTGCTGAGTCACTGGGGGAGAGCTGTTTGAACCGACTTGGATATTAATATGTAAAACTTTGTGATAATATTT